AGGACAGGCGTGGACTGGCGTAGACTGCTTATGTGCCGCGAGGACAGACTGATGCTGTGGACTTGGGGAGCTATGTAGGCTAGATTCTTTGTCCTTTATGGTGTTCGCCGTCTCCACTTATGCGGGCGATGCAGAAGCGCAGCCATCTCCAGCAAAGCCACGAGTCAGCCTCGAAGACTGTGCAGCAAATTGCGCGTCTAGAGCTAATGCAAGGTCATCGTGACCAGATGCAGCTGCTCATGCGTTGGGCTTGCACCCTCTGATTGTCGCTGCTCAGACGAGCTCGACCCAGTCGCGAGTACGTGGCCTCGTCCATGTAAATACAGTATCATGAGAAAACGCGCTTGATTGTGGCCTCCTGTGCTGGGTAAGGTCACCATGCGCAGTATACGCTCACGGAAATACCATGCCTATGACTTACCTCCAGGCGCACGCCACTTCGCATAAGCCTACCCTGTCACGCGGATGCAAAACACTGTTTTGCTCAGCCCCCACCTTCCGTATGTAGTTAAGCGCTCACTGTCAAGAATAAAACAGCAATGCAATCAACAAGTTAGCCGCAAACATAAGCTGGACCCTGCCAGTGGATCGTCCTCAATGATGTTGCTGCCAGCAGCGGGCGCTGCACGGCGCCGTGGACCCACCCTGCGCATGCCCAGACAGGGAGTTGTCGCACGAGAAACCTTAAATCGACTGCACGTTTGTGCACCCCGTGCCTCTACTGTACGATGCAACAGCCTTACAGTATCGCCTCTCACAGCCCATCACCTGAGCGACCATAGAATGATTGAGCCAAGGTGCGTGCTCGACACAAGCGCTCTGTCGCGCGGTCGACTCGAGCACGTCTATGCAGGAGTATTGATTGCAGCTCACCCAGACCACTTGTGATGACACCAAGTGGACGGGCCGAGGGTAGTGTGGAATGATGGGTGCACCTCTCTTCACCGTGTCGAGTCATCAGCGCGCGGACTGCAGAGGTCGGTACTGTACTGCTCAGGGCAGATAACGCATGTGAGCCATGCTCATGCGGGTGTTCGCCCTAGCGCTATGTGTGTAGTACGATATGGGTGTCTGTCCTGAGCTCTGACGAGCGCATGTCGCTCGAGGAGCCGTTTTGTGCATACACTCAGTCCCTGCAACTCAAACCGTGCCTTCAAGGGCCTCTAGGTAGATCTCGCTTGGTGCGTGCTTTATGAAAGGGGCAGCGCTCTGGCTCCGCCCTGCTCTCGAAGACGCAGAGTCGGTTCGCGGCGTAGCAGGCGACGTCGCAGTTCAGGTGCTCAGAGTGTCAGAGTGAAGATCTGGATTGTTTGTAAGTGGTGCTATGGTTTGAGAGAAGTCGAAAGCTACTCTCGTAATACAAATGCTAAGAGACACCCACTCCGAACAAAATCAGTTGCAGCAAGGCTCTCAAGGATAGAATGTGTAGAAAGATTCATTGGTGGTGCAATAACAAGGTCTCAGCCCGTAACCGTGATGGAATCATTTGACACCTGCACAGTCTGAGGCGTGGCATGCATCAGAAGTTGACCGAAGCCGAATGACTGAAGAAACCATCAAGTGCCACAAACCAAATGAGCCGCCTCCTTAGTCTATTCAAGCTCTATCCTCAGCATTGACCTGCCCCCACGTAGCATGTCCTCGTCCCTTCCATTAGAGGCCCGCTTGCGCTTCTTTCCCACCCGTCTATCTGTGGTGTTTGGAGAGCTATCAACCCTACAACTATTGCTGTGGTCTGACACAGGACTGGTCGAGCGACAAAACGTTCGGCGTCCTGCTTCTGTGCCTCTGTCACCGCCGTCGTCGTCGAGCACTATGGGATTTTCGAACCCGCCGCTCGCACTCTGTCGTCTCTGTAATCGCCGCAGCAGAGCTATCCGAAGTGCTTTGGCGCGTAGCGGCTCGAGCAAGCAAACTTTGTCCAGGCATTGCATCCGGGACGATTTAGCATGTCCAGCAGCACAGTCGTCTTCGTCTGGTATGGCTGGAGCTCGACTTGAGGGGTTGCCTCGTCTTCACCTTCGTCGTCTGTGTCGTATCTGGAAGCATACTCTCTGGGTCGGCCGGCACGCCCGAAGAGTCTCCATCGCCTGGGAAACCCCGTGCCACATGTCTCTGCATCTAGCGTCACAGTCTTCGTCGTCTGGCGCCCGACTGAGCTCGGTGGCGTGGGTGATGATTTGAGTACATCTCCTCGCATGTTCCAACAGAGATGTCGAGACCCGGCCCGAAAAACTCTACCACATACATTAGATCTTCTTCGAAGAGTTGAAATGAACGAGCAGATTAACTTACCACCAAATGTCTTGTGTTCTGCCTATATGTGAAGAAGAAGAAAATCGTTTCCGGCATCTTTGTGACTGGCTGAATGAGCCCTAGGCGAGAGAGAAGGTAAAGAAGAGTATGGCAGCTGACAATTCTGTTGATAATTCACCATGGCTTTTATGCTCTCCTGTTTGCTTCGCAGCGCCGGAAGTTTCATCTCCTCACACCACCTCTGACATCACCACCTACAGGCCTTGCCGTCGCCTCCGCCAATCGACTATTCTCATCGGCCACGCATAAAGAGCGCAGCATCATTGTCCACGCTCTAGACTCGTAGCTGTTCGCGTACCAGGATGCCGCTACCGTCTACCCCGTCAAGTGTGCGACAGCATGAACATCTCCACCGATCGAGCAATATGCCAGAGCTCGTCCCAGTGCTCCGATAGGTCGACGGGCCTGAGTCTGCCTTTGGTGTGTTGAAGCCGCTGGGGCAGCTGAGGTTGGCGAGAAGAATAGCTGTGGCAGATCGTGGTCTCATGTCAGCTGGAGGTTGCTCCATCAATGCATCTTGTTGCGCAGGGATTCTCTCCCAAAGCCTCCAGCTTGTTCGTCCTTGGATCGTGGGGTGCGTTACAGCATGATGGGCCGATGAACCCCAAAGGAAGGCTCTCACAGGACGGATAATTGGGCTGAGGGTCGCACGACCAGCTTGTTCGGAGCGCGTAAACGACCAAGCCATCAGTAGGCATAGCTCGTTGAGGACAGCATGAGGCTTCGCATGCCTCGTTGCCACCCTGATCATGCTTCGCTGTCTGCATGGTCGGCAGCATACGCGCTGCAAGCGCGGACGCCCAGACGGATGTTGACTGCCTGTGGTAGCAGAAGACTCTGACAAGTCTATCCGGCACCTGTTTCAATCGAGCTTGCCAGCTCAGCCGCACCCTCCTTGCATGTGACAGGTGTTTGAAGTTACGCCCTTCTCTCCCTGTCCTCCGCGTGGCTATACGGCCATGGCGGTGGTGTCCGAACAAGCCAGTAAGATACATGTCCCGATGGGTGGCAACACAGACGAGACCAGTCTATTTGAGTTCTAGTGGAAACCAATCTTAGAGCGCCTTCACGTTAGACAGATTCGGGCCATCATGCGGTAGAATGGACTACTCAATTGAACTCACCTGTATATCTAGCATCCACTATCACTAGAAATGGGCGCGGTATCGCTCAGGTTCCGATAGAATTCCATAGAAAGATCTAAGCAGATACCGTGATAGAGGATCTAGATTCATTGCGGTCTTTGGCTTCTGCAACGTTGGATAGCCCTGTTTTGATACTCGCCCTCAACACTTGAGGTGCCAAACATGTAGAAAGATCTTGTCTGTAGAGTAACAGCTTCGTTGTAGGTCCTTACGGTTATGTGTGCCTATTCTGTGACAGCGTATCCTTAGATGCTGCAGACAAGGCTCGTACATCGACTGCGATAGAGTCCCACTGGATGTCGTTTCAGCTCTGCAAGTCTACCGCATGAACCAGACGTCAGATCAGAATTAGTGTGTCGGCGGCCTGAAAACGTATAAACATCGGCGAATGCCCCCAGGTACCCATCGTTCTTCCAACTCACTTCCAACTCACATCCATCCCACACTATGCCAGAGACTTGTTCTTACACCCACCGTGGACAAACGAAGCGCGTACCATCAGTGCGACGTTCACCGGCCAAGAGCTCACCCGCGCCAGAAAATATGCCCTCCACCTTTTAGCAACGACGACAACCCGCGCCCAGCAAAGAGGAGGAAGACGGTGGAGCCCAAGGAGCGTACGGCAGAGTACCCGGTCTCCTAGGGCCTAGTGTGAAAGAAAATGTGAGCTACCAGCTGCAGCTTACTGAGCGTTCTGCAAAAGAAGCGCAAGATTGTGGTTAATGTGCAGGTGCAGGCATCCGGTTTCGGCTGGCATTCCCGATTTCCGATCTGCTACGGGCCTGTTCAACACGCTCAAGAAGGAACACAAGCTCAAGTCCTCTGGCAAAGACCTCTTCGATGCGTCTGTCTACCAGGATGACGAGTCCACATCGGCATTCCACGACATGGTGCGCACACTGTCACAGCATCGCCAATCTGTGCAGCCTACCGCCTTCCACCTTCTCTTCGCGACCCTGGCTCAGGAAGGGCGCTTCTAATGAGACTTTACACCCAGAACGTCGACGGCATTGACACTTCACTCACCCCTCTCAGTACCCAAGTCCCTCTGTCAAGAAAGGACCATGGCCCAAGACTGTCCAGGTGCACGGTAGTTTAGATTACATGGTGTGCTCCAAATGCCATGCGGTGACGGATTTCGATGCCGAGCAATTCAATGGGCCTAGCCCACCTCCCCAGTCTAAGCTGTAGAGAACGATGAGATCCGTCGGGTTTGCAGACAAGCGAAGCCACGGCATTGGTCGGTTGCGTCCTCGCATGGTCCTTTACAACGAACACAACCCTGACGATGAGTCGATCGGTTCTGCGCAGCTTATGACATGCGCATGAGACCAGACGTGCTGTTATCGTGGCTGGCACCACGTTGAAGTGTACCCGGTGTGCGACGCATAGCTCGCGAGATGTGCAACATCGTTCGCGACCGAAAGGACGGAGTCACAGTATGGCTGAACAACGATCCTGAGCCGATGGGTAAAGATCTCGAGGACAAGTGGGATTTGCAGCAAGGACCCTTGTGATGAAGTCGTGGGTCATGCCAACATGCGGCGATGGGACGACCCGGTGGACGACGAGACAGCTGCAGACGAGGACCTGAACAAGACCAGTGAGAAGCAGAGAGTAGTTATCATTGACACCTTCGAAAATCTTTGGTGTGCTCCGGGTACGCAGGCCAGCTCACACCCGGACAAAGCCCACATGTTCCCCACTCATTCAACGACGGAATCCAGGATACCCCCAAAGAACGGCACAAAAGAGAAAGGTGATGTGCAAATAGATTTGTTTCGTAACGTCGCAACAATGCACGGCCAACAACACAGACGACGGCAGCAATGCAGAGCGCGGCGAAGAGGGAGTCCATGACAAAGGCCTCACCATCAACAATGTCTTCAAGGTTACCAAGTGTATCAAGGTGGTCTGAGGTTCCTCTCTACGGGAAAATAAGGCCTAGATAAGAAGATGGCAGCACAATTCGAATGAGATACTTCAGGATGATGTAAATTACAGTCACCGTTGTCCTCCTAGATTCACACTATCGTTGCAATGCTCATTGCCTATGGAGTTTCTTTTTTCCCATGTTCGCGTCTAAGTCTTCGGCATCTGTCCTCGGCTTTCGCTCACGCGTGGTAGGGTGAGTACAGTTTATCCTGCAGGCACTCGTTGTCGCCCCAGATGGGATGTTTGCCCTCGAATTTTGTTTCCAGTAACTACGTAATCCCGGCCATTACAGTCGAGACAGCAGCCCGCTAACCTCTGCTTCTATTGCCAGCCATAGGTTTTGGGGTGCCAGTGTGCGGCCTACGACGTTAGTAGAAGACTCTTGATACGGCAGCATCACTTACCCTGCTGGATATTTACATGGCGGGCATTGACAACGTCATGTTGCTGCCAGACTCTGGCATCATCCCGCCTGTCGCAAGGATGATACCAACGGCTTGCAGTCTCGCTGACTTGTGCGTACGAAAGATGCCGCGCCAGGCGCGCACGACTGATTTCAATCGCTTCCGGATCGGCCCTATATTGGTGGAGTTGTGATGATTCCGTATAGTAATTTGCGTTGTGGCGTGGAGTGTTCATTGCGCGAACTGGGTCATTGAGCGCACGGACACGGGCACCCGGAAGCATCAACGCCACGCTGACCATATGCAATCGACCAACCTCAACCCTCAACCCATGCCATCACGTCAAAGTACTCGGCTTGCAGGCCTGTCGAATGCAGCTCGGTTTGAGTCACGTTGCGGCAACCGCTGTGCCAAAGCGCCTAGGAACACACCAACCAGGGACCGTTGACCTGCTGACCTTGCTGACCGAGTGCCGTGCTCGGCAACAGCGGCTGCACCTTTGGCTCCAAGCTCAGCCCCACCACAGCGGACACCGAGTCACTTTGGGAGGCCAGTAGACCACGAATTACGACGTACCATGTTATGCTCAGCTGCTATGATTTGTGTTCTAGAGATTGCACAAACAAGAGGCGTGAACAGGATGGAATTGGACTCTCATGCACCTAGTTTCATTTCATGTAGGCTTCCAATCTGCACCTCATGACCCTCCTCGTGGGTGCATCCTCGACAAGCCTGCAAGACCCAGCTGCTCGTATAAAGGGAGGCGACTGGTCATGACTCAAGCCTGGCCTCAAATAAGACCTGGATCTCGCCCGCCCGGAGCCCGTCTAGTTTGGATCCCCGTGCCTCAGCAGCTCCAGTACCCGTGCGTGATTCTCCCCCTGCAACTTGGTCTTGGCCTTGAGCTCCAGGTTCTCAGCCTGTCTCCTCGAGGGTTTGCTTTTGGAGCTGCAAGACGCTCTCGTAGTTGGGGATCAGCTCTTTTAGGTAGTAAGTGTTGGTTCGCGCTAAGCTGTCGTTCGAGCTGTAGCTTGTACCCCGCGCTCCCGCCAGAAGCCTGCTGCTCAGAGCGGTACGCTTCCTCAAACTTTGCGTCCCCAAGGAGTCTTTGTAATTCGCCAATGATACCTCGAACTGTCCGCCAATCGCGACCAGAATAGTTGTCACTCGACCTGCACACGTCAGCGAGGCACAGTGGGATTGAACAGCTTCCAGCCCACCTGCTCCGTCTCTTCCCTTGATCTGTGGGGCTGGCTGGCAGGGACGACATGGTGCGAGCTCAGGCGTTAGGTATGCGTCTTGGGGCAGATGCTCGCCGACGGTCTTTTAAGACAGGGCAGATCTATCTGGCTCTGAACTGCTAACATAGATGCGCAGCAGGGCATCCTGCTGTCTGAGCCCTGCAATGGGCCCGAATAGTGCGCTGTGGTCTACGTTGCGTAGGTTAAGATTAGCATGCCGCGGGGCACAGCATGTCAGGAAAGACACAGCCAGAGGGCCTTGTCCATTACTTATCCTCAGCTGCTCCCTTCTCTGCATGCAAGCACAATAAGCACGTCCTCAAGGAGAGTACCGGAGTTCTAGGGACATCCTGTATCCCTACAGTACCAACCCCATAGCGCTGCTTACACGCAATACGCTTCCGAACATACCACGCAAGCTGAGCCCGTCCGGCACGCCTCCGGCCGATCGGGTTGCGTCACAACCGTTTGCGAGACTGTGGGCTTGCGGCCGGAAGTACCGACGCGAAGCAGGACTTAGATGTCGATCATGGCTGTTGAAGAACGACTTGTCCAGCTCGCGCAGAGTTCCGGTCGCTTGCAGAACGAGTAGGTCTACTAGGAAGAAGGTCCAGGGGGCTGCTAACCGTGTCTCCGCAAGCTCGCGCAAGACAGGGCGCTGGCTGCCTGTATGCCTCGGTGCCTCCTCGCGTGTGTGTTACGGTGAGTACCAAACCTTTTCACGACCTCTGTATGGGAAAGTCTCGCCTGGCTTGTGCGAATCGATTACAATCATACCGTACACCAAAGCACAAATGCAATGACCATGACGAAAAACAGTCAGATAACAGCCAGCTAAAGGCAACAAAGCGTTGATTGACGACGGTGACGGAACAATCGATAGCACGTGGCTAAAAGCAGCTGCATTCATGTCGGACGCTGGTATTCTCAAGGAGCAATTACCATTCAGTTATGATAGATTAAAGCTAGCCTTACGAAATTGGTGAATGAAGCTGGCTGGCACAAAGTGCGAACTTGTTCGCGTGGGCACAGTGCGTCTCTTCACCTTAGAGATGCAACTCTTTTGCAAGTTTACCCTGTCTAGGATTAGCTGCGCCTCCAATATCCTAAGTTCCAGGGGGATGATGGATATGCCGCCTCCCATGTACGCCCATACGTGTCCTGTGACAAATATCGCTACTCAGGGATGTGCGACGTCCGCCCTTTTCATCTCAACCATCTGCGCAGTGCCGAGTCTGCTGCTTACGGCGTTGTTCTCTTTGTCAGTTTTACACCGCTCTGTGAGGCTGATCCAGCTTTGATGTTCAATGCTGCTGGCTGCTGTGTCCTTGCCAGCATTAAATTCTACGGACCTTTCCAATATTAAGGCGTCACGCAAGCGGTCACGCATGGACTTTCTCTTCTGAAGCAAACAAGGACGAGCTCAGCTGCACTATCATGTGTAGCCGATCGCAATGCCAGTCGGCACTCCAGCTTGGCAATAGGGAACCCACTTACATCCCTGGTTTGCTCCATACCCGTGCATCGTGGCACGACAGTGGTTTCCAACCCTATCATGGCTTGTGGGAGACGTGCGCAGCTTCTGTATAAGGATTCACGCGGCGGTATCGTGTATGGCTCCAAGGGGAGGAGCCGTATCCTAGAGGGTGGGGACGTGTCAGGTGCACATTAGAGGTGGGAACACCGCATCAGACCGTACAGCCTTTCCCGCCCCCTCTCCAATGAACAGCGGTAACAAGGGAGCGCCGAAGCATCGTCGTGCCTCATTCATGCGCTACATCTGTCGGTGCTGGGCGTCGAACACTCAGAGCCAACGTGCTCGGCACGAGGCATGTGGAATTCCTGATGTAGTATACAGAGGGTGCCTTCCCGTGTAGATGCTGCGCAGATCCTCTTTCTTCGATATGGCTTTTCTCCCCGCCCGGTTTTACTCGTTTGCTTTCGGTTGAACTCCTACTGAGCGTGGTGCTCATATATCACGGTGTCCGGTATCACAAGCCGTCTGCTTTCTCAGCTTCCTTCAAGCATGCCTGTCTATAGCTGGTATACTGCAATTGTGTTTGCGCTTCTCTAAAGATAAGTTGTACTTGGTCGACATGGCTGTACGATGCAAATCCCTCCATCTTTCCACCGGCACAAATGTAAGAAAAATCCAAGTAAACTCTTCGGACTCAATTCATGGGATAACCAGCCTGTTCGAATCCTACGTGCCTTACCTTGCATCTTGGGCTATGTGGTTTACATATGCGGACTATGTTTTTGACGGCTCTGGCTAACATACGGCCTAAGAGGTAGGACATATGGCTCCCATCATCCGATTTGACTAGCTGTACTAGAAGTAGCAGTGGTGACTCTGCCTACGACTCAGGGCTGCTCGATTTTTGTGCAACTTTACCCTATCCTCGATAGTGTCATCTGTACGGCTAATAGAAGATACAACATCCGAAATCGGGACAAGACGGAATGCGATGCAAGCATTTGTTGATCGTTTTCATAATCACCAACGCAATCGCCGGGTCATTCCAATGGGCGGAGCGTACGCCATTTCTATTGATTGCTCATCGATAGCAAGATGAGTACAAGCCTCCCCCAGCCAACTTTGGTAGGTCTTAATCATCGCTGTTGCGAAATGCGATCTGACTGCGGACAGGTTTCTGCACAGTAACACAGTTACTGTGTCCTCTCGCTTTTGCTTGTCTATGGTTAAGAGCCGAATCATCGAATCTCTCAAACCCGAAAGTGCAGGGTACAATCAAAAGAATATAATCTCGTGGCAATATGGAGGGTGCGAAAAGACTGAACAGCCTAGAGGACGATACAATCTCTCAATGTTATATGTCTAGGGGCCTTAAAGATGCTTTCCAACGGAAATGGCTGAGGCATAGGAACGTGGGCCTAGTCGCAGCTTTTTTCCTTTGACGTGAACCGCGGGCGAAAGCGTCCAGAAATGAAGGCGAGGGAGGTGGTAGCAAAGGGATCCCACTGATATTTGATGAAGAATATTAAGGTTTATCGTGGTTGCAGAATGATTGAATTTCAATAATCACGCTTTTGGAACCTGGGTAACCTCACGAGTCTCCCCAAGAGTGGCGATGTTGCATAGTGTCCCAACCTGTTCGTATTAAACTTTACGCCCCGCGGAAGAGGCCCTGTCGCTGGTACGCTGTGGCGCTACAACATCTATGCCGACGAAAGCTGTCTGCCTTGCCGTTCAGATTCCTCGCTGAATCTTTCCTTCGACCGGAAAACCTACCCGACTTCAACAGCAGCAACCAATGAGCGGAGCAGCTCCATAATCCATATCTCATAGTGTCAAGACATTCATGCAAAGAAAGGGC